TAAACAATAACCAGAAAACAGTGGTGATGAAACAATATCAAGTGGTAGAAGCATCAGGATCATGGAAGAAGGAATATGAGAAGTTACAGAAATATCAAATCTGAAATATAAACTAGAGAAGACGCGGAGAGTGAAGGCCAGTGGTGGTAGGAGTACTACGGGTCCCTAAGCTGGAAAAATGTTTCTAACAGATTTCAGGAATTAGAGATCTCCAGAAGAACGCACTATTTAAAATAATTAAGATAATGCGTATCAATCTCCTTTAATCCTCAAACTCCCTTTGGTGAAGAATCCGAGACTGAGAAAGTCCCATAGCACCACAATGATATTCTTAAAGAAATTTTTTTATATTCTTAAAAAGAATAGTAATAAAATTTTCCTTCTTTAATATTCCTGGTTTGGTTCGTTGCATGGTCACTAAATTTTCTGCCAGTGAGTTATTACAAAGATGGAACCACAGGTCAAGAGAGCCAACCGGATTTATTTTCAATCGCATAGTTTTTCCGTGAAGGGATCGCAGTCGAATTCATGCTCTTTACCCTCAGTCAAAACTAGCATGCGATTCAGTGGTATCAAATTACGAAGTCATTGCTGCATTTTGACTGAGGAAACTTTTACTGGACGGATTCTTTAAAACCAAAATATTAACTAGAAACGAAAAGGAAGGAAAAAAATTTTTTGCGAGTGTAAAAATAAACAAGAAACATTCGAAAGTTCACGCTGAATAAGTTTAAATTTCGACTCGAATTGCAGAATTCCTAAAAAAATTAAGACAAAAAAGCGTTCTTGAATGCCTAAATCACCATGAGATATTGCAAAATACTCGAGTTGTTTTCGAGCGATCGTCATGCATTTTGATTTTCGCCTTTCCTCGACACGAGAAAACCCGTGATTAAAAGTGAAATCGGATGGTATTATAGAGCCTTCGTCTTAGTTAGTCAGTGAATTGGTTTGCACATTTTGGAAGTGAAAAAAATTTATTAAATTAAATTCAAAACTTGTTGTTTAATGAAAAATTTTCGTTTATTTACAGAAATTTAAGAAAGGATAAATGAAATTATTGAATGCTGCTATTCGTCAGAAAACATTTTCTCTTTCTTTAATATAATATAACGACTTTTTGTTCGTAAATGTATCAGTTATCCTACGATTTAATCACTCAAATCGCATGGAAAATCGATATGCCCGGGATGGCTTCCCTATTTCGGAACTCAGGCCGATGCTATGGTTTCGTTCCAGGCTGGAGTAAACTTGCTTTTCCATCTTCTCTTTCCAGGTGGCACTGGCGACACTGGCGCCCATCTGCAATTTTATCGCCAGGTAATTCCACGGCAAAATTTGTCTGATCCAATAGGCCAATAGAATAAAACCAGAAACGCCGAATCTTAGAAAAAAATTGAAGATTGATAAGTTAGTTATCGATGAACTAATATCGCACTTAAAAGTGATAAGCGGATAATTCAAATCTCATGATTTATGATAATGATTTATTGCTATGTAATAAAAAGAAAACTAAATCATATAATCAAATGTATTTATTATTCATAAAATTAATTGGTTGATATTAAAGTGAAATTCAAATTAAAATAATTAAAATATTTCATTTTCGTCTATTTCTGGTCTGAATTGATTCCATTGCTCATCAGGACAAAACCCTTCTTAACTTGGATATGCAAGCGCACTTACTATTTGCAACCAGGGTTTCATTTTTTATTCACGAGCTCACTCCTAATTCCTAATGGAAAGGAATCAAAACTTTTGATATTTGATTTTAGCTCGAAGTACCAGTCTTTGATAAAAAATTAATGTGAAATTAATGAGAATAGAATGGCAAAATGAGTCATTACTTTCATTTCGGATTTTTCGGATCGGAGTCCTCACAGCAGTGAAACTTTCTCTCAAAAATCGAATGAGGTCTCACTTATACTTCTACTGCTCTCCATGACAAATCTGATAAGCTAACGGAGTCCAATCTACCAGAAATGATAAGTGCTCATAGAAAAAAAAGTATGCCAAATTCAGAAAATGGTAGAGAATTGATGAAATTGTTGATGATACCAATTAGAGCGATAATTACTAAATTATTGTTAAATAAGCAGCAAATGGTGAATCTTTAGAACATATCGAAGATGTGTTTTGAGAGTTTGGCTATGCAAAAACTATAATTCTGCTGATTGCTTTTGCAACAATTGTTTCCTTGAAATCTTCAAATGCTGTAAAATAAAATATAAAACAATTTTACATAAATATAAAATATTTTCTTTCGCGAATTTGTATAAATTTTATTCGATTTTATTTTGTTTTTGATATTGTACTTCTAATTTTATTATCATTAATTTCTTCAAAATATATAATAAAATCGAAAATCATTCATTCTTATATAAAAAAAAATCATTCATTCTTATATAATAAAAAAATAAGAATGAATGATTTTTTTATTAGTTCTAAAAAATTCTTAATTCTTCTTGCTTTCACCACTCACCATATCTGGTTTGACTTACTGCAATGGCTATCACTAATATTCCATCGACAAGTCACCTAGTAATAGTGGGTTCGTCTTCAGTCGTCCCACAAGGAAAATTTTCACTTTCAGTGATAGGTTTAAAATAACTAAGCGATAATGATTTGATTTGGAAAAATTGACAACATCTTGTTAATATTATTTGTCGAGAATGTGATATGCGATCAGAACCACTATTGCGAGCCAGTTTACATCTCTGTCCTTAATTTAGCCTTTGAGAAGAAGGAATTTCATCTTGCCAGTCAATAAAAACTGATCTATAAAAAAAAGATGAAAGTACAAAGAATTAGGCATTTTCTAACAAGCACGATAGGCCAATTCCGATTCCCATTAGCTATTGCAATGTAATAGGATTTTAATAATAGGGTAAAAACGGGATAATAAATTCAAAATCAAAATCAACGATAGCTTTTTCTATTTCCAACAGCGCTTATCATTTCTGGTTTAATTGCTTCAATTTATCTGATAATTGCTTTAATTTGTCTGATAAGAGGGGCTTTGCTTATCAGAGAGAAAATGGAAGCAGCAATGTTGCCACTGATTTTTAAAGATGATTAATTTTCCTGGATTATCATGGAAGAAATAAAAAAGACGATGGTTTAGCAGTGGTCGAAACTACATTCCACTCGATAATTATTCACTCATTATGAATGAAACTAATTTTAATTTTATTCATATTGATTATGCAATTATCGTTGAGATAAACGATATAAAATGTTGATATTTGCCTTTTTTCGAGTTTTATTCGCATTTTATTCAGAATTTGATGAGTTTTTCTCACTTATTTTAAATCCCACAGCTATTTGGTTTCTTTAATTAATCTGCAAAAAGTGATCGACAATCGACTCCATTATTCGATAAAAGGAGAAGTCTATCCATATTCATTTATAATAGGCGAATCCAGTGACGAGCTAGAACGATTCACGCGTTGTTTATTATTTTTCAACAATTATCCCCCTTCATAACGGACTTTCGTCCAATGATGCAAATCGTCCAATGATACACTCCGATGGCTGAAAGCGTTTCGCCTTATTCCACATAATCATCAGCGATTCATAACTTATACAAAGCATTTAAAGCCATCTGAACCAAAAGCGTTTCTAACTAAAAGAATATTTCAGTACGCTAGGAAGCTTGCAAAACTGTAAATTTGCCTCGATTAATGACCGCTAAAAACGAACCGAAGTATTTTAAATTTTTTAATAAATAAATTAATTTTGTCACAAAATTCGATTCAGAAAAAACCATAGAAAAATTCAGAAATTCAGAAAACCATAGATCTTTTATTACTTAAAATGAAATAAATCCTAAATAATTAACATCCCGCTGCTGATGAATTAAATGACGAAAACGGAAGGCCTTTTTTAACGAAGAATTAAAATTCCCATTTACGCAGAAAAAGAATTAATCCTCTTCCGAAGCAAAAACAACTATGGCAACAGTTGTCCATGGAAAAAAGCAATTTTTTTCGAATCTAATTTTCATGACATCTCTTAAAATGCAACAAATTCACCAAAAACACCAACGTGTAATGAAAATACCGGTTTTTTTTGCAACGATTTGATCCATCACTACAGTTGAGTGACAAATAGTTTATTTATTTAAAATATCATATTCATTCTCTTTTATTCATTTTTATTTAATATAAACAGCAAGGCATAAACACAACCAAATTATAAGAAAATGCAACTTTAAGAGAATAAACAGAAGCAAATGGCAAAGACAATAACTCGTGTTAAATATCACAGTAGGAAAAAAACAATACTAATAATTCTACTGGTAGCTATCCGTTTCAAAGATATATATACTTAATAAATGAAGCGCAGTATTACTAAAACAATTTTCCGAATGACGGAATTAAAATATAAAATAAAAGGACAAAATTAGAAAAGGCATAGACTAGAATAAAAGATAACTCATTAATTAAAATAATGATTATAAGTGAAAAATTGGAGATCCAAAAGTAAAACTAATTATTCTTGAAAAATTTCGCTTGATTCATCGAGTGCATGCGAGCTATTTATGGTCGCATGTCAACGATCATTATATCGAGAAATAATATTAGAGACTGAAATAAGGGAACGACTATCGTCAACGAATTAAAATTAATTTATAATTACAAATCAAAATTATAAAACAGATCAATTATGTTAATGTATTTTCAGTGAAACATTGAACTAAATAACAAAAAAAAGTGAACAAAGGATATAAATCTTAATGAGATGCACTCGAAGATTTGCAGAGAATCAAGGCCAGAGTATAACCGAAAGTCATCATATTGATATGAATATAATAACACGAATTAAGAAAGAAGAAAAAGGATGAATATGATGAATATTTTAAAAAAATATTTTAAAATTGAAATTGAGATTAACATTTAAAAGTAAGCATAATCATAAATGAAAAAATAAATAGGCTTTATATAAAAAAGCCAATAGTATAGAAAATATTTACCAGTGAATATTGCAAAAGAAATTTATTACTGAACACATGGGCGTCGCATTGGATGAGTTTCTCGAATAAATCTTACACCATCGACGAAACGCTGGTAAGAATTCAGAAGATTTTTGGGGGTTTTAGGATCAAGATCAACAAGTTTAATTGAATATGCAAATGAAACTGAACAGGCATCAGGATGTTGAATTGTAGACGGATAAATCTTCACAATGGGTGGAGGTGAACACCTTGAATGTGGAACTGATGTTATTGTTTCATCAATAAGTCTGAGGCTAATCATGACTGAACAATCTTTCATGGTTGCAGCCAGAAAATATCGCTGCAGTAGGGCCTGATCAGAATTTTCGTGCATAAATGAAAGATCATTTCGTGGCAAGAGGCACTTATTGAGCAATTCTCTCTGCAAATAAATCAATATAAATAAGATATCCATGACAATAGCAATAAAAAAAACCCAGAATATGTATTCATACTTATACTGCTCTAAAATAAATCTATAAAGAAGTTTATAAATGAGGAAAACCTAAGAAATCGAAAAGAAACAGTTTTTAATTTTTAACGGATTATCGACTAAAAAGATCACTTCATCACAAAAGCAACTGGAACAGTAATTCTTGTACTAACCTGATTTTCTAAAGATAATGACTGATAGATTTCATAGGCTTTCACAATACCAACTGGATCAAGTTTTTGAGCAGCCAGCAATTTCGCAAGAACGCTGGTATCCTGTACTGTGAATTCCGCATTTGATGGAGCACCAACTAATACACAACAAATCTAAATTAATATTATAAATTAACCTGAAGAACATTACGGTTCAAGAAGCCGATAACCTAAAATATAGCATATTTTAAACTGAACCTTAATTATCAAAACACATTGACGCATTGGGAAGAATGGTCTCAAACACACCTTCTCTCAAATCAGTCACACTAAGATATACGATAAGAAAAGAGCTAACTGCGAAATAGAAGAAACTGCCCGAAATGGACTGCATGTGAAAAACCTTAACTATTTGCTATTTCAAAGTCGCGCAACAACACAGCAGGTCTAGGATGGTTATTGCTGTGATATGTTCCTGAATATGAAAATCTATTGCAAGGCATAATCGGAAACTACTTCGTCTTTTCCATAAGGCAATTATAACATGATCCGATCAATGGAGCAGCCAGAAATATAAAAGAATAAAAATGAAGATAAATAATTATTACAGAAGTCGGCTTCAGATGAAATAAGATGAAAATCTTATATACCAGACTGCTGATAAAATATCATTTATAAAATATCATTTAATGATCGAGGAAGTGAGAAGATAAATCTTGGACTAATCTTGGGCTCACTCTTACACCAATTGAACAAGCAAAAAAAGAAATCCCCGTCAAGATAGGCACAATTAAAATTACTTTCACAACTGCCGCGCCAAATCTTAGGGGAGTAATCATGCAATGAATATCAAAACAAAGTTCTGCATCTATTTAGCTCTGATGTGCACAATTCCGCTATGAAACATGCGCAATAAAAGTGGAAGATTAAAAAATTATTTATCCTTGGCCGAACGCGCCTAAAAAAATATATTTTACATATCCGCCATGAGCGGCTGGAATTTGATTAAATCTATCAACTGCATCACAGAGCAGCATATTGTCTATATTGTCTAGACTATGTTCATCATATTCACATAGGATTATATGCAATTCTTGCTATTTGCTAATCTCTGTGATGTATGGCGTCAAAAGTGAGAAAGAAAAATAGGACTTGATAGAAATGATACGGTTAGAAGTGGCTTTAAGTTTATATGAGTGATGCAGATGCCTGGAAAAATACTTTTTTTTCCTCACTCTTGCATAACTTAAGGAACAAATCTAATGAATAACGGTACAAATTATCATAGAAATAGAAATATGAAAAGAAAATAGTGAAGATCTGCCAAGAATCTATATAAGAATAAGCATTATTTTTTTCAAAAGAACGCATCAGATGACAAAATTAAAAAATTAATAAATTTAACCACTGAAATGCAGAAATTTAAATGGAAAATGAAATATAATGCGATATAGCAAAATATGGCGAAGATGTAGCGAATACAGCAAAAAATAAAAATTGTTTTGAAAAAATTGGTTAAAAAATAAAATATTTGGAAAACAAACGGCTGTAACAAGTTCCTCAATTGTGACAGAACCGCCATGGAAAAGTGTATCTTGAAGTGACTGGTGATTCAATGATAATTCGTCAGAATGAATCACTGTGCCATTGAAAAATATTCTTAAGTTCCGATGAGGAACCAATATAAGTGAATTCAGAGCTGATCGCATCCGCTGAATATCTCCGCTAAATAAATCAAGAGGACAATAATCGTACATCACATCGAATGCATTTGAGTTCATCTTCTCCAGCTGACAATTAACAGAAATGAAATAAACCGACTGATAAAAATTAAAACTGACCAAATATTCAATTTTTTCAGTGTTCCAATAAATTGTTAGTAATAAAAATTATTTATAAGAAAGTCAAAAAAAACTAAGTAGTAAAGAAAAATAATTTTTAAACCTGTAATATACAATTAAGACAATAGGGAAGTTGAATTCCTGAGTAGTTTTGAAAAAAACCCTGCTTTGGCTTAATTTCCACAGTAATCGTAGGACCATAAAAGCGCGATGGAAGTCGTTTTGGAATTCTTGTTGCATCCATCATTTGTAAAGCACTCACAAAACGAGTGCCCTCAGGAATTTCATGTAAAGGAAAAAAACTCATTGAAGAGGCATATTTCCTCTCATCACATAATTCATCGAATGATTCAACTTTCATATTTAGCGGTAACGCAGGGATCTAAATATTTCAAATATTTTAAAAGGAGGGTTCAATAATTAAATTTTTTAAATTAACTTTTAAATCATGGGAATACAAAAAAATTTAATTCAAGATCAGCTGTAATCTATTCCGACTTTCTCTGATCAAAGTAGTCGAGCTTGAGAAGCTTAAGCAATATGAGATCGATTCCTATTTCTCGAATAATTTTGACCTTAAAAGTGGATTTCGAGCGATTCTAGCTATTTTCTTCTGTATCTCCATTTTCATATAGCAAGTCCAGATCTTTAGGCAAGCGTTATCTTTTCATTTTGTGGAATTAGCCAAAGAAGAAATGGTGTATCAACAAAAAAATAGCAAAATTTATAATTCTTTCTTCTAAGTTCTGTGGCAAAGAAAATATGGCCAAAATATATATCAGATTCATTTAAAGTTAAATTCGCATATAAAAAAAGTAATCGTAATAAAAATAAAACCTTTGCCAACCGATGAAGATTTCTCACATCGAAAGAGACGATTTTTGGTTTTACCAAATATTCACGCCCGATAATAGGCACAATAAGTTTTTCCAAATAAGCAGCAATTGCATGACATTTAGGTTTCACTGTTACCGTGCCAGACTTTCGATGTTTTGAAAATCTCCAGACAATTCTGAAATATTTGAAAATTCTTCCATATAAAAAATTAAAGAGAAAAAATTAAAAGAAACCAAATAAATAATTGAGGAAGTATCAGTATCCAAATACCTACGGTCCACTTTTGTACCAATTAGCCAATCGGATAATGAAACTGATCACTCATGCCTTACACATTTCATCTGGTACCAGCGGATAGAATATACACGATTCTTCTGCTCGAATATCATCTGCATCAGTAATATCATCGCCTATGTTAGACGTATAAACGTCCGTAACCCTAATGAATGATGCATATCTCTTTATTTGCTAAATAGTGCAACAGATGATATAAAAAGTTTAGGAAGAATATATGTGCGGCCCAAAGACAGATGAGCCAAGACGATGGAAAAAATGAATGGCTTGTTATTTTCAAGTATGGAGTCAGGCCAAGCAGCATCGAAACGCCTCACCCTCGCAGCCAGCGTAGCCGGTCTAACCAGTGATAATACGTGCAGTTAAAAGATGAAATAGAGCTAAAGATTCGTTTTAGAATCAACCGTTCAAACGCTCGCAAACGATAAAATTCGAAAAATTTATGTATAGAAAATAATTACAGCAGAAATAAAGCGAAAAATTAAAAAAGCATGACAAATTAAAAAAAATTAGATAAACAAATTACGTATTTAGCGTTTATTATTTTCAGTTAGCTCAACTTGGCTTTTAGTACGTTTAGACAGAGATTTGCCAGAGAGTTAACACACGACACAAAATATACAGCCCAGACAGCACTCTCTCTTATTACTACCAACAGTCTCATTGCAGTCAACAATCGAGTTTTTGCCTCTTAACAGGTAAACAGGAAAACGAGAATGAGGTGGCTTAGTGGCTTGCTGCTCAATTCGGAGCGCCGATACTAAGGTTCTGTCCCCCGCAGGAGTAAGCCTGTCCAAAAACCCGGGTGAAGCTCGCCTGTATTTCTGCCGCCAAGCGACCCGCTGGGTGAACTATTTGCTCAATGTGGCAAGCCAGTGGAGCGAGTTTGGCCAGTAATGGCGAAAACTCTTTTAAAAAAAACAGGCAAATGAAAGATTGTAAGAATTATTTCGACGAAAAAAACTGCAAATTTTGCAAAGTATTTTTTGAAACGAAACGAAAAGAATTACCTGAAACGTGATTTTCGACATTTCGCACTAATAACAAAATTCGCACAACCTTGTCCGCGAAAACAAAATGAACGAAATGTTTGTGGATCAACTACATTTAATGGTTTCATTTTTTATCCGAAATGCTAATAATAATGATAATAAAAATAGAAAATGCAACATTTTTTATGGAAAAAAGCATCTTTTTTCGGCGATCGATAACGAATAAATTTAACCAAACAAAGCTATTCTCAAACAAACAACTGACAACCAAACCAGAACCAATCTCAGTCAACAATCAACAATCAACAAATGGGAAAATTCGCTTAAATCATTTCCATCCCTCAAGAATCAAAGATTACACTGCTGATAGAAGATCGCTTCAGGACCAAATTTTTTAAAATATTTCGCTGTGATCCACCCACCATAGCCACAACCATGGCTCGCTTTAATTGATATTTGAAGAGATAGTGCAGATAATATTATATTATGTTTTATTACGATAAAGAATGTCTACAAATGAAACGACAAATTAACTATTTGAAAAAGAATCCGAGAAAAGTAATCCACATGAAACCTATACATCAGCGGCAAGGCGAGCAAAGGCAACATCAATAACTTCTCGCTTTCGTTCGATTTTCTCCAATGAGATTTGCCTTGGTTTGTAAATTGAACTATAGTAATAAATGGAAAAAAAAATGCAGAAATTGACGAAATAGCACCACCGAATATTGTTTACTGGAGCTGAAAATAACTATTTAAAAATAAAATAAAATATTTTAAATATTTGAAAATAATAAAATAGCAAGCAGATAATGAACATTAATCACTTTAATAATTTTCTATTATTCCCATAAGCTATAATTGCAATCATTTCTCCTCGATAAAAAATTATTTATAATGCACTTCCGACACACCTCTTCTACTTCTTTTGTCGGTAACCTTTTTTGAACCTTTTTTAACAGCGGTCGTCTTCCTCTTCTGATAGCTCTCACCATTATGGTTTCCAAGCCGTGCGGTCTGATGCCATCGTCGACAGTAATGGAAGCCATTCCTTTTTCCATCGTCTAAGTCCATATATTGCTGGTCCACCTATACGTTCAAAATCTTTTCTCACCGTATCAATCCAGGTCTTGATTGGCCCACCTCGTTTTTGACGCAACCGACCACAGGGTTTAGCAAGTAACGAATATGCGTCAACTCCTCTGGACAATGGAGGATGTGCCTAAATCAGCGAAGACGAAGCTTTGTGATGATATTATTAACACAGGTGATATTTGAGCGAAGATGGTGAGGTGATATTTGATTTTATCTGCTTGACGGATCCGTAAATCCGTACTTTAGACATGAATCGTCAAATTTTTTCAATCTTATGAGGTGGTTCTTAATAACCTTAACAGGTGTCCCATTAATATTTAGTATGATTTCAATTTCTAGAGTTTTAGAATTATAGATGGTTTGTGAAAAAGCTGAAATAGTTTCCTATTATCTATTCCACCTTATTCATAAAGCAATTTTAATTTGGGTTAACGTTCATCGAAGGGATAATGGTAGGTCTGTTAAGGCTACTAAGGATTACCTTATGAGTTAGCTTACTAGAGGAGTCAATTTCGAGAATTTTTGCTTCCCTTTTTCGATTCAGTTGATAGAACGGCGCTGTGGAGGGTGATGGAACGTGACGGTGTTCCAGAAAATATCATATTCGATCATATGGGCATTTTATCAGCGTACGTCGGCGCAGATCTGTGTATATGGGGAACTGACAGATTCTTTCGAAATAAGAACAGGTGTCCGTCAGGACTGTGTCCTTTCCCCTACAATATTCAATACCATAGACTGGATAATGGACACCGCTTGTCGACATTCCAGAGATACAAATCAGCCCAGAGTATCAAACTTGTAATACGCTAATGATATAGTCCTACATTGCTAAACAACATGTAAGCAATCACCAACTGTAGCCAGAATCGGATTCAAGAGCAATGTAAATAAAACGAAAGTCTTTTCTTCTTATCTTATAAAAAGTATCTTTTCGTCTTATATATAAAAAGTTGATAAAATGACTCTTTTTATAGACTCATTGCCTGTGAGGAAATGCTAGATTTTAAATATGGATCAAATAAATATGGATCTTGGATCAAATCGAATGGTCATGGAAAAGCAATTGCAACTTGGATAATGGTAACTAGAAATATTTTGCGATTGACCTTTATGGAGCTGTCGCACGATCACCATAAAAACTAAAGACCGCATCTGCATAACCGCGATTCGATTTTACTATATAGCTGCGAGATATAGCCAATGAGAGTGAATGAGAGTAAAAAGCTATCAGCCTTTGACCAACCATGTCTAAAATATATTTTACGGGTCCATCGAGCGGATAAAATCATATATAATTATATCCATCTTCGCTCAAATACTACCTGTATTAATGTTATCACAGATCGTTGCCTTTGCTGATTTGGGCACGTTTTCCGTCGTTCACCACATTTGAGGCATATTTTGTTACCTGTGTGATGGCGCCAAAAGGTGGCGAGGTGGGCCAATTAAGACCTGGGACTGATACGGTCAGAAAAGATTTTGAATGTATAGGTGGACCAGAAATATATGGATTTAGACGATGGAGAAAAGAATAGCTTCTATTACTGTCGATGATGCCATCAGACCGCGCCGCTTGTAGCCAGTAGAGCCAGCCGGAAGAAGAAGAATCGATATTATTGCGGTTTCCTCAGTGAGATTGAAATAACACTATCAGATGAATAAACTTAAACCATCTGCATCACCTGGTCCTAATAATATCCAAAAATATTTTATAAAAAAATGCGCCACCTGAGCCATCCTCTGTTTTTATTGCAACTTGGATAATGGATTTAGTTCAGCCTAAATCCAAAAAATCTGGAAATATTCCTAACTCTCATTCATAAGAAAGAGAATACCTGTGGTCCTTCCAATTATAGGCTTATTAGTCTAACGAACCGTGGTAGCAGAATATGCAGACTGATTAACAACAAATTGCTTAATTATCATGAATCCAGTAATTAAATATTCTTTTCGTGGCTTCTGATTGCTACTTACTACTTCACAAATGCTGACTAATCTTTTTAACTGGTCAGCATTAGTTTGTTGATAATGGAAAAAAAATGATCTATTCGGATTTATCTCCTACGGCTAATTGCTACTACTGTACTATTAATAAATATAACATAACAAAGGGCTTGTACAACTGGACACCAAATTATTTGAAGGACCGATACCAAGCCGTAAGTTTAACAAATTTTCTTCAGATTATGGTTCAACAAGTCCAGAAAAGTTAAATCAGGTGTCCCTCAAAGAAAGTGTACAGGACCATTACTTTTTTATTATATATTAATAATATCACCAAAATTAAATTAAATTCTACTATTTATCTGTATGTTATTGGCTATAAAATTTATTATTCTCATGGTGGATCGGATAACCTGTCCGCTACAAGAAGATCTTGACAGAACTTCCAGCTGGTGAAATGAAAGGCAAATTATATTTATCATCAAAGTGTACCGCATTATATAAAAATTCGAAAGGATTCGACTTTCCCAACATTTTATTAATGATAACATGATGTGTCGAATATATAAGATCTTCGCATAGTTACGGATGAAGGGTTAAATTTTATCTCTCGCACTAAAAAAGAACTGAAAAATTTCTAGTCAAAGTATGTATACAAGACGTCCGACCCCTCCTTCAGCACAGTACAATCTCTTATCCCCTTAGATATCGCAAATCAAGTAAATTAATTAAAGGGCTCCAAAAGGGGCTATTTTGTACTTTGCCACGCTCCTAATAATAATAATCTTAAAACAAAATTTAACAAAATTTAAAACAAAATTTTAAAACAAAATTTTTAAAACAAAATTTAAACTATCTACTGATTTGATAAATTAAACAAAATGTAATGTGTGAATCTAAAATATAAAATTTTATATGGTTACGTGAAATTACATTGTCCGAATATAATTTTTGGTATATAATTAAATTTGAATCCAACAAGATCTAATGGCTAAAATGGTTATAATCTTATGCAAAACTGAATTAAGAATTAAAAACTCATGATTTTTTCATTCGCACCAACAATTACAGGAGATAAGCTATTGAGTGACTGGTGAGTATATTATTCTTAGGTACTTTTAAAAAAATATTAAATAACAATATCATATTAATCAAGCAAATGAGGCTTGTCGCCTTGCATGACTGCTGAAAAATTAAATAAACAATAAGTTTCAAATAATAATAGAAAATGATCAAACAATATGATGGATGGCACCGAAAACAAATGGCCAATCAAGACTTAGAAAAAAGGAATTTTAAATGCACAGGAGATCCAACTACAATATGCCGAACGTAGGATTGGCAAGCCCTAATCCATTAGTCGAAGAAACGAGCAAAGCCAGAAGGAATGCGCTTTATAGGAAAACAAATAATCAATAACATAGTTCCCTCGACTTGACTTAGGATTCATTTATTCATATTTATTTTTTATAACAGTCTAAATTAAATAGGACTCCCAGTAAATCTTTGCACATGAAATAAAAACGTGCCATCTAGAAATATTAAAATGATATATTATATATTATTAATCACTAACCAACATCGTGAGGACCATTAAAGTAGATAAACTTAAATAGTTCATAATACTGAGCAGTTTTTCTTATAATTGGAGGCCCACGTTTCATATGTCCTCGAAGCCAGTGACCGATAACTCCAAGAACCATTATTTAGAAGTTCGAATAAAAACTGGAAACCATTAATTAACACAAGAAAATAACCAAGTAGCACATCATCCAACAAATATTCCAAAAAATTTTATGGCAACAGATGAAATAATTCTAAATGGTAATGAAAACCAAAAATTTTAAAAACCACCGAAATGATAGCAAAAGTTTTATTCGACAACTTTCGCATTTGCTTCTGAAAAATTCCACAAAAAATAACTAGAAACAAAAAAAATTTACAATTTAAAAAACGCTGTTTATGAATTATACTTTTTTGCTATTATTTAATATTTAATAAATAATAAAAAATTGCAACTTTAAACAAACACAAAATTACAATGTTAACAATTTTTTAACGTTTAAAAAATTAATCAGCGAGCAATAAGGAAACTTAAGTTTTTATTCTATAAAAGATTACAATAAAACAAAAAAAATAGGCTGAAGAATTTATGTGAAAAACTAGAAAAAAACTAGAAAAATAACAATTAATTTATCATTAAAGTAGCAAAAAGTAAAGCATTTACACATCAAAAGTCGCATAAATAAACTTATAAATTTCTATTTATAAAAAGGATTAAATAAATAAAAAAAGAATTAACGAAGAAGTGAATCAATCAAACTTGGCATTTGAATATGATTAACAATTTTGATAATTATTCAATCATTGTTTTTAGTATTCTAAATGTTTTTAATATTTAAAATTCTAATTAAAATAAAAAATCTTTATTTTTAAAAAAAATGGAAATTTTTACTTTATGAGATAGTATAATAATATTAAAATATTATAAAATTAATTAAAAGACTCGTCCTATGAATGGAATTGAAATCAGACATCGATATGCAACTTGAAACTTCAAAACTCATCCCTTTAACAATTCTTCGAATGTTTTTATATACGACTTTCTTTTTTAATAACTAGGTGGATTAGTTTTTTTTTTTTTAAGATGATAAATAGATTATGGCAAAAGAGCTTTAACAATAGAAGACCATAAAAAGGTGTAGAATTATAGAATTAATATATTAAACGTTTAAGAAGGCATTTTCGAGTTTCAGCAAAATAACATGAGCCTGGTATAACCAAATAACAAAAAAATAAAGGGGATGGTAAGAACAATAAAATTTAGCCAATTTTGGAAGAAATAGATGTTTTCATGTAAATTGAAACGCTGACGCAAATAGCCTTAAGATGACATGCCCTTTCACATTGTATTTCCCAAACATCTCTTCGAACGAATACTGCTTTCATTCCTGCCAAATCCTTATAACCACCCTAACGAATTTTTGCTATATACCTGCGACATTTTTAGTTGCGAAATTATATTTCTTGCAATTTTATAGCTCACTTTATATGTAGCCTTAGGAAAAGTGTATTGAGAGGTTTAGCAGAGCAGTAAAATGGAAATGAGTGGACAAAGCAGCAAAACAGCTTTTTAAGTTGTAGCTTGCTTCAATGGGGTTTTGGAACTATAATATGCCATGTTATTACGGCAAGTTAACAACAAATAACAAACTAAAAATACAGTATAAACATAATATAAAGAAGGAATTACACTTGTTCGATTTTAATAAAAGATTACGGTGCAGCATGATGGAGAATTAAAAAAAGAAGAGATAAGGAAATAGGGAGTGAGTGGAACTGGTTCCGAGTAAGCCAAAATAATACGAGGTTTAAGGGAGTATTTGGGAACAGCATCTTCAAATATTGCTATGTGATATAACAAGTTGTTCTCATGAAGATGTTAAGGAAAATGGGAAGAGAAGCCAGGATTAAATAAATTCAAAAGATTTTATGAGATCTAAAAGGATTACTAGAAGATTAAGACAGAGTGGTACTTTGGAGGGAAGGTAATTGGAAAATAAAATAATCAGTCTTATGGGATGGAGAACGTTTTTTGAAGAGGATTAAGAAGAATACGAATAAAATTTGGTTGGTTTTGGAAAAAATGAAAGAATTTTTTTCATAGAACATAGTAAGTTAATATACAGATACATAAATTTTCTTACTAAGTAAAAAATAGACGGAAAATTTCCTATTATTATTTTTTAAGAAAGCGAAATAAAAAACTATCGAAATTTAATCTAAATATCACCTGAAGTTGCCGAACAGGATGCCATCATAAGTTCCACTCTTGTCTCTTGACGAGAGTAAACTTGCCTGTAAAATAGAAATTAGGGTAAGAAGACCCACTCCTATACTTCTGGCACAAAGTGACTTTCTGAGGAAAGTCCTCTTTCTTATCCTAAGGACCAGTAGAACCAAGCAAATCAAAAATGATCGCTAGAAGAACAAGAAGCAATACCAGCTAGAAATAATAAAAACATTGAAAATCATATCACTTAAAAGGAATAAAATCAATATGTTTAGAAGGAAACAGAAGAAAAGAAAGCTATGAGGAAAAACCCGTTAAGCGCATAATTCAGTCGGCAAATTTATGAAAATGTAATATACGAGCTATCTGTTCTCCAATACATCCTCCTCGACCATAAAAAAGCTTTGAAAGCCATTGTTGTAAAGCGACAAAGCAATCGATGTTAAATATGACTGATGACATAGTTCGCAGCGACCAATCCTTGGGAAATGAGATTTGCACATCTCGACTCCTCAACCAAAAAATAATCGGAGTATCAAATATAGAAGAATTTTCATTAAAATGCCACATCAAACAATATAACAATATAAGCATAAGATTCACAACGAACTGAAAAAGTAATAATATTATCAAAGGTAAAAATATTATAACAATAAGATAAAAATAACTGAATAAAAAAATAAAAAACGAAATACTTACCATGTTACTCTGTTTTACCATATTTTCAGCAAACAATTCAATTGGAACGGATTTTATAGCCTTACGGAAATTGTTAGCAGAAAAATTGGAGAATATAATGAATATCGAATTAAGAAATGATGTGTTGAGCTGGAAAAAAGTGAATAAATGAAATTTTTCAACAAACGAATTTTTTAATTGTGCTAGATACATTATAAAAAATCAATTTTAAATAAACCAATAAACCTCTTCAGCAGACACCTTCTTTAAGCTTGATTGCAAGGCTGGAAATAAATTGGACATTACTCTTAAATTTTGTATTTCTGTTGTATATTTCAGTGTCCTTGTTATCATTTGCCGACCTTTATCAAAAAGCAGCGTAGCATGCATCCATTCATTAAAACAAGGTGAGTTTAGGATAACCTCTATTCTCGATCTTATATCATTTGCTAAGATTTCCCTATAAATAAATTAAACAGTTTTAAAAAAATTTGAAATACATAACAACCAGCAAATCTCCAGTGTACGTATTATCAAATTAATTTTTCTGCCTCTAAAAAATATCAACGATATTTTTCTTGAGATTATACGAATAATCACTCCCACAAACTCATATTCCACGATTCATGAACAAAAAATTTCGAAAGGCAGAAAAATTAAGTGGTTATTTAGATAATCTATTTTTTTCAGAAGTCCTCACCATTACTGGTTTAACTCGTTCCGCTAGGTGTAGCACCGGACAAATATGTCAGGGAGTCCCTTGGCGATAAAAGTACAGGTGGGTCACCATCATCCGAGATAATCTACATTTTACATATCTATATTCTATATATATATATTAGTATATATATATACTAATCTCATATATATATATATATTTGTATATTCTTGTAGGTCAGCTATTTGGACCTTACTTTCGATAAAAGCCATTAAAAATCCGTTCTGGTCATATAATTGTATCTATACTTTCTATACTTTCTTGCAAGAACTATATTGACAATTAATGAAGTAATGGTGAATATTTATTTTATATGTTGATAGCTGACCTATGAAAGTTTATTTTAGTATTTATACAAATTGAAAAGAAACTTAATCCTTCTCCATCAAGCATTAAGGATTATGCGATAATATATTTTTGTACTAACTTCACTTCTTTAGAAGAAGTCGGACTCTTCATTTGGTGCGACCGATCATCGCATTCAATAATCATCCTTAAAATATTCTCGATAAGTATGAGTAGTGCTCGAAGCCTCCTTTGTGGTTTTTTGGCTGTAGCGTTTTTATCTACATCATCATCAGGATCATTTGTATCATCTGACAAGCTTATTAACTGAAAATTTAAATATATAATGCACTGAAAAAACATAGGTGTGTGATTAATGAATAAACCAGAAAATATTCAGAGTAAATGAAAGAATATATGGCCAATAAATGATACTTTAAGGTGAATAGAAATGTCAGTTGAGAAAAAAATTTAGTAAAAAAATTAGCAAATATTTTACAGCTTGTAAATGTCTCATCATATGCCTATAAATACCAATGCAATAAGATGGATCTTAAAATAATTGTTCATAAAAACCTGTTGATTTACCAAATGATGCTTAGAACTGTCTAAAATATTAGCTTTACCATCATAATGAAGAACTTTATCATTCCTTTAAAAACTTTATCAATATAAAAATAAATAAGAAAAACAAAGAATAATAAGAAAATAAACCTGTCTGGGATTACTGGCAGTTGACAAACTAGGTTTTCCAAGACTACCGATAAACTGAGGAGGTTCATAGTGATGTGGATGGCTATTATTACTTAATTCGCGTTTAACTATCCTGATACTACCAGTCTTAGGAAGACTTTCGTTCTGGCGCTGTTTCCATACCTGAAATGTACTTCTATTCAACAAAAAAAAATGACTGGCACATATCATTCCAAATTAGTTTTGCTCCATTTGCGGCTGATATGATGATTTTTCATGAGAGAAATAAAGGTTACCAGCAATATTAAATTTTTGCTTTGCAACACGACCTGAGTCATCACCTGCTTGCATATCATGTCCTTCATTTTTAATCAATATCATACAGTGAACTATAGAAGCATTCGCAATAAAACTGAGTATTTACCAGTAAATGAATAAGAAAGTAACGTGCCGTGAAGTAATAATCATCTTCATATGGATTGCCGCTATTTTGACATTGGAAAATCTGAATTTTTATGAGCCATTCGACCTCTTTCTGCGACATGAAACCAGCGTAAGGACTAAGAGCAAAATCAGATATTGTTTTACCCGACGGCAGACCAGCAGCACGTTTCCTTTGAGATTCGCGATGTTGGTTCACCCTAAATATTCGATAAAATAATTTGAAAGCAAAACAGAATCAAGAAATTAATCAATCTAAATTTTCCTCCGTTTGATAGTGTTTCAATTAACGCTGAATGGTTAAATATTGAAATAATTAAAAAAGAAATTAGAAATGCATTAAGATTTGAAGAATTAAAAAGAATAGCGAGGAATATGTGCATTACTGATTTTCAATTACTTTAAGAACTACAATGATCGCAAAGAAAACAATATAAAAACCTGGTCATGAGTGGCGGATGATGGAGTGGAAATGGAGGCAAAACTGGTGGCATCCTTGATGGATAATGAATCCTCATAGGGAGTGGCAAAGCCATTTCTGGATTATTTGTTAGCATAGGAAGAACATTAGTATGCATTTGTGGTGGCATCATTGAGAAGCGAAGAGGCAACTCATGGTACTGGCCGGACAGTCGAGCTGTAAATTTCATTTCAAGAAGAAAATTGTAAAGAAAATGCTAAAAATTTCAATAATAAGCATATCTTCTAATTTATTTCCATTCATGAAGAATAAAATACCTCTGATTGCTTGCATAATCATTGGCGGTGGTATACGCGGCAAAACAGACATAGATGGAGGAAAATGTTGTTGCACTGGCCCTTGATCGGTTTGCAAGGATAAGGACGGTATGCGTGGAATCGTTGCACCACGATTTTGTGATTCACTCAAGATTCTTCTTTCCAACTCCGTTACAGAAAGAGCACCTAAAAAATCTCAATTTCTTATTGCCTTATTTCATTACGAGTAAATTCCAGATTTGAGATCTGAATTTCTCACTAAATTTTGCAAATAGTATGATTCATAAATGATAATTTAAGTATTACTAGAGAATAAAAATGAAAATAATTTAAAAATCTTAAAAATAATTTATCAAACGAACCTGACGGAAACGAATGAACAGAAGGCAAACACTGACGCGACGAACGTAAGACGTCACTTTCAACTTCTTCCAAAGTTAATGCACCTAATGGTGATTTCTAAAAATCGTTTTTCATATTGCATAATTACAGAAATGAATTAGCAAAACAAACAGTACATTTTCCAAAAAAAACAATGAAATAACTATAAAGTAAAATTTTTTACTTATACAATTTTAAAATTTTCAAAGTTTATCAAAAAATTAAAAAATTTTTCTTCTACCATAAAATGTTTGAGAAATAAATCACCGACGAATTATAGTTCTGTGATTTTGGAAATATCTTAGTATAATTGCCGACTGGAAATGTTGAATGTGTCTGAAGCTGTGGATGGGTAAAGTTCTAAAATATCATTTTCTGGATATTTGTATTTCATTCCAAAGAATAATAGACAAAAAGGTATAGGAAATCCTAAATTCAAATGAAAAAATGTTCAGTCAAATACTTGCTGAATACTAAAATATAATTTGAATAAAAGGAGAAAAATAAGATCAATTTTTCAATAATTATAAAAAAGGCGAAATATGCACCTGCATGATCGTTTTATTCGACTCAATATTTCCATTGTAAGATAAGTTATAAGTCGTTTGCACTGAATCATGCAAAACCAATTTCTGCAAATCTCCTTCAATTCGATTTTCTGCCGAACACGATGGCTCATTGGCCCAATCAGATAAATCCAGTTGAAGCTTTGCTGTCTGGAAAATGTCGTGCAAAAACGTATAATCAAAAAATAAAAAATAATGCATGAATCAATTCTTTATCGACGTTGATTTGGCTCACAACGCTATTTGGATTATACCTTTTCGCTAAAGTTGATTATAGCCGCCTAGCTAAACAACAGGAATAAAAATACTGATGAATCCACAGTATTCGCAGTATTTTCATTTTATAAGTTTATTAATAGATTAAATGAAAAAATCTGTGAATTAATTAGCCAAATTTCTTTACAAAAGTCAATGTAGTCGAATGATTTTGAGCATTCGAAAAAAAAAAAAATGTAAAGAAACTTGTTTCGAATATTCCTCTAAATCGCCAACAACAAATGAGTCAATATCAGTGCCAAACGTTTCCGCATTTACGGCATCAATATCATCCACCAATGAATTATCACCTATTTCCTAAAATTTTCCATTCAAAAATTCAAAAAGATATTAGAGAAGTAAAATAATTTCGTAAAAAAACCAACATCTTCCGGAAGAACGGGAAAATCAAAACCATCATCGTCATCATTATTCGGTGGATGCGTTCCACTAAAACCAAGTAAAGACATTGAAATAAGTTAACTGAATTGATAGAAAAACAGGCGGTTTAATGATACTCTGTTAATGTAAAACCTGAAATATAAAATAATTCAAAAAATTATACGAAACTCAATTAATAAAATTTTGAGAAAAAACCCTCGGAATGATAATGTGCATGTGCACTGATAACAAATACCCTTTTTTAGAATTTCATTAGCCTTTAAGTTTTCTACACTGACAGTCTGACAAGCACTGACAGTCAAACTGGCCTTTATGAAACACTGTATTTTATAGAGTTTGCTATATTCATTCAGAGGAGGACCAGCGATATATGGACTTAGACTTGGAAAAATGAATGGCTTCTATTACTAGTAGCGATGGCGTCGTACAGAGCATCTTGGAGACGTCTTACCTTATAGCTGGCGAAGCCAGCTTAACCAGCAATGGTAACTGCTGCTAGAAGAAGAACAAGCTTCTAGGTGGAAAAATTTAATATTCTAAAATTTAAAAAATGTTATGCTCCATAAATTTTTATGGGATCACTAAGAAGACTCGTGGAAAAAGTCTGACGAGCTTTGCAATAATTAATTATTTATTCAATTTTATTTCAAATCATTACCTTTAAAAGCCAAACGACTGAAACTTTACTTATTAGGAACATAACAGAATCCCTCCGGCACGACTCAGCATTTCGGGTTTGTCTGCTTCCACTAACTTCTCACTGTGGAAAACCTTCCGCCATTTGTGGATAGAAATATAAGCAGAATCGCTCCCTTCCCCATTAACGCAAATAACCCCACCTTTTCTTATCAAAACTATCGCAGAGAATTTTGGTGATTAAACTTGAAGCAAACAAGGCTGAAGGCTAATCGTGAAGTGCAGGAATTCGGAAGTAAGCCTACTGACTTCGAGCGTATAAATTTATCGTTTCTCGATTTTTCAATGAAATATTCGAAATTTTATGCAATACAATCAGCTGAATTATAAACTAACTTCAATCATCGCAAATCTTTGCAATAAGCCAAGTTTCATCAAATTAATAGAAAACTGGAAATATCCTAAACCAATGGAATAATTCAGCCAAATGATTTAGCAAGTCTGACCAATGTAAAAAAAAACTGGAAACCGAAACCCCCTAAACCGATAAATCTATCCAACCTCACGTATCATATAAACAAAAAAACAATGTAAACTATCAAACTGTTTGACAACCCGCAGCCGCCTTTGAGAAACTTTTTATTTGTCGGCTTCGGATAGTGATTGCTTGCTCAGTCCGTCCGGTCGTCCGTCACTATGCGGAGTTTCTTGCTAATTAATTATTTTATCCGCGAGTATACGTTCCGATTGGAACTGCTATTCCTTGCTATTTGGAACGCGATCTCCGTCAACCGCGTCCACGGGCTGATTTTCTTGGTAATCCTATCAAAATTTAGTCAAAATTCCCTTCGTCTTATCAGAGTTTAGTCGGGAACACGTAGCGGCCAAAACGAATTGCCACACCACCTGTAATTCCTCCTTGCATTTTCCTCGTTCTTTCTTTCACTTCCGCGAAAACCAACTGTCTTTCTTGCAAATTAAACTTACGAATATTTAGGCACTGCGCATATGATAAAATATAGGACACCACCGCCCACCATCATTCAACATAAATTTTTGTTTTTCGTCTTCATGAGGGGCGCTGCGTTTTAGACATTATATCTGAGGCTTATTCAGATGACGAGCCGAGTTTTAGCATCTCTCTCAATCGATAAAATTGTCTTGGTGGTGGTGGTGGTACTCATATATATAGTGATGGAAAGTGGCAGTTTAGGTGCATTGGTGTCAAGTTTAGTAATACAGTTGGAGGAAATGAAGAATTCATCTTATTTTGCTTATAATCTATGTGATATAATATAATCAGAAGCGTTAAAAAAACGGCTGTGATGTGGCTACAATCGCGTTCGAGCAAACCATAAATGGCTATTAGAAGATGGCTTTTGATTAGCCTGAAACGAGGAAACGAACAACAAAAGAAGCATTTTCTCCTTCTCTTACAAGTCGATTAGAAGCATTTTGCGGAATTCTTATATTAAAAATAAACAAGCAAACTTCACCGGTTGCACTGTCCAAGTACCACATTTCGCCAATATCATGGTTCATTCCTACGTTTAATGTAATATATCAATATATCAACATAAGCACATCTCATGTAGAAGATAAATATTAGTTTACGCGTGTGCATGTATGTGTTGGCCTGCTTGTGAATCCTTTCGATATTTCCCAGTTCCCTTTGAATCCTCTTATCTATCGTTGTTTCTCATATTCAACGAATATAAGGAGGTTAGGCGATTAAAAATTGGTAACAAAAGAGTACAAAAGGAAATCGGAAAGGAGTAAAAAATGAAAGTCAGACATGTTAAGGCAATCTAATAAAATACGAGGGTGTATTTGCCAGAGAGTATAATGAGGTCCAATTTCAGTATATATCAATTTTTCAGATGATTTCAGTGCTTGAAGATGCTTTTGTCTGCGAAGCCAATTTTGCTTTGACCACAGGCTGATTTGAAAATTGCGATCCTTCAACATTTCGTCCAACCTCTGTTGTACCCCACTAAAATAATCAAATTTGATGTGTTCGCTCGTATTTAATTTGTAATAATTAATTAATTATGTATTGATTATTGCGGTTTTCTTTCTTCAATGAAATTCCCCACCTTAGAGTAGCTTCTTTCAGCCGTTGCAGAGGCTAAAGGATTATCTTCAGAAATTCAGAAAGTGGAAAAAATGGTGGAATCAGGCGCCTCTGGGTTTTTTCGCTAGATCGCAATCATAAATTACAGTTTTTCTTTCAATAATCTCTAAACGAAATTCGATGTTTATGGATGGGAAGATCGGAATTTCGATGAAAATCGAATTGTTGCTCCACTGCTTTCGAGTTGTGGCCTTACGTATTGCTTTTTATAACAAAAGTTGTCTTTGGCTGCGATAAATTTTGCGTTCATCTTATTTGAAATTAAAATTGCTAGCATTTTCATCGTAAGGCCATAAATATCGATATGTATGTGTTTATTTTATTGCTAAAAAATAGTCCAGCATGGATGATATTCAAATTTTTTGACACCATTTCATAAATATGGAAATTAATGTGAAAAATTAGCTAAGCAAATTATGCGATAATTAAAGGTTAGAAAAATGAAAAGGCAAACAGACAAGTGGTTATCAAAAGAAAATTCAACAGAATTCTGAAGAAAGCCTTAAATTTTAATCATTTAATGCATTGAATAGACAATAAATTTTAGAATTTTCCTTGTTGGCAATATGATAATGATATAAAGTTAACGATTTTATTTATCTGGTCGTATCGGTTCATCTAATAGTAGTGGTGAATAAGACACATTCTACTGACTGGCCGAGCGGATAAAATTTCAAATGATTACATCCACCTTCACATTAACAATGTGGTCGCAGAGCCTTCGCTGATTAGGGCAAGTTCTCTGACAACCAAAGCGGTTGACACATATTTCGCTACTTACTAAGATGGATAGCGCCAAAGGCGAGGACCTGGACCTCTTCTCTAAGACCTGGATATGAGTGGACCAGCTATACAACAGAAGAGGAGTGTTTTCTATCATCTGTCAACAGTGGCGTCGATTCGAACAGTTTGTATTTTACTTTTGTAGCCAGCAGAGTCATTCTACCAATAATAGTGCTGGCGTCGATTCGAACAGTTTGTATTTTACTTTTGTAGCCAGCAGAGTCATTCTACCAATAATAGTGCAGTAGAAGAAAAAGTGATGAGTAATTACAGTCATTCGGTGAAGAACATTCATTTAAGTGGAAGTGGATTCTTGGTACCAATTAATTTAGAATTTAATAGTCAAATTTTTCATGGTTGCAAATCCGGTTGTTCATCAATTTTGGCTTAAACGAAACGAAAAAGCAAACGACAAGTCAAAAATTAGGAAAAAAGGCTTCAAGTAAAACTCAAATTAATGGGATATTTAGCAAAGGCTTCTGCTAAAGTATTAAAATAATAGGGATTTTTAAAAAAAGTTTCTATTATTGTATTGAAATCAATACCACTAAGTAACAAAAACAAAGCTTCAATGAGGTCATTTTACGAATTATAATAAAACGAATTGCAAAGGCAAAAAGAAGTAAAAATACAAATTTGTATCCCCACAAAAAGGCCCATGAAAGCAGATTTCGCCCCGATTATTCAGCGTCTCAACTCAAGTACGGCGGAAGAAACGCCTGAAAGCGCAAGCAAGCTTATATTCCATCTAATACCTAAACTTTTAGGTGCATTTACTGATTTTAGTGCGTCATAGCGGATCGCTTCTTCGTACTGGAGCATCGATGTTGATTTTCCAAAAAAATAATAAAAAATTATTGCGTCAGTTGTTCTTAATTCGGTGCTCTGGTAAGGTTTATTTTACTGAAAGCGTTGATTCATTAATTTTTGAAATTTTATGGAAAGAAAACTCCGAGGAACTTCAAAAAATAGGTGCTATTTTAGTGAAATTAATGCTATATGCTATTTGCATATTAAAATATATAATGAGGCAATTATTTATAATTCTTCTCTGTAGTTTTATATTATTAAAAATTCGGTAATTTTTAAGAAATTTTCCGCCTTTTAAATTCCATTATTCATCAATTTTCACTAAAATTCACTTAAAGATGACAAGAAGGCTTCCGAAAGGAGTCGGAATTTTTCTTTTAATAGTTCGTTTATCTTTAAAAATCTTGGATGATTTTGAAGAGCCGATTGGATTTTTGCTTTTTTTTTTTATTTCTGGAAAGTCCAAATTGATGAAAGATAATTGATAAATGAATTGATATTGACTGATAATGCCTTAGGATAGAAATACAATTCAAGCGATTTTTACTTTTAAATTACTAAGAGAAATTTATTATTTGCATTTAAAGATGTTTTTATTGAATTTCCTCGGAAATATTTGTTAAATAAATTTTAGTTTTCGTATATGATTTGTGTATTAGTCATTCATTTTTAAAAATATATCGCCTTAAGGCTTATCAATTGGTT